AAAAGATGCCAAAATATTTATTGAAACTTCAAGAAAATTTTTTATATATATCATTTTTTTAATCTATTAAGAAGTTCATGTGTTATAAATGTTAAAAGAAATTTTTGGCATTCAAGCAAATGTTAACACACTAATTAAAAAAAAGAGAAAGGATTTGCACACTGACTGTTATTGATCCACCAACACACCACATCCTTACAAATTGAACCCTTAATCCAAAATGTAATATCCCGAATACTTGAAGTTTATTGGCTTTTTTTTCATCAGGATTCACAGCCTTAATCAAATCTGATAACATATCATACAATGTTTTAGGCATTTTAAAGTATTCAAGTAAATATTTATTATCTGAAACTCCTAAGTATTCTTTTGCTGCTTCAATTGCTCCCACCTTGTGAAGGTTATGAATAATGTAAATTATTCCATCTATCTTTCAACCAATGAACTTCCTTTGATTTTTTGACCCATCCATGATTTTTCCTGTTGGCACTAGCTAATGATGGTATATCAGTTCTATAGAGAACAACAAACAAAACTTTATTAAAAAATGAACAATAATAATAATCTATTGATTACATCAATAAAAATTAATCAAAACCTTTTTACATCAATTCCCAACCACATGTCCCTCATGCAAAATCAATACAATCACCAAACAAAGCTACTGTGAACCAACTTTCATATTGATATCTGATTAAAGGAGAATTTATGTTTTCATACAAATTTACCAGTGTTCTAATTGTTATTTGTATCCATTCAAGATCATAATGTTTTTTTACATCATAATTAACACCACACTTCAATCCCTGATGCATTAAAGATGCATTTGAGCATGGGAAGGATTGTGGAAGATGTCTTGTTTGAATATATATGAGAGATGGATTATGAAACAGAAGTTTTTGAAACTTAATTTTCTTTCCATTATTCTTTTATTGATCATTGGTAATACTAATATGTGTTATTATTAGTCATGCACATTCATATATCATAGATTATAATGATTCCGATGTAAAAGCATTATTTAATGATGATGAATGGAGAGAGTTAACTAATGATAGGATAGGAATACCAACAATTCCTGATGAAATTGCTAAGGAACTGTCAAAATATGCAAAGAACTCACTAGGGTTTTTATTCATGAATATCATTAAGGGGTTACACACTATTAAAACAGCAAAAAATCCCTTAAAAACATG